GTGAATACACGGGAAGATATGAAACAAGATAGATAGAGAGATATATACACAAAGAGATGAACAGGCGAAGATAGAGATAGATAGATAGATAGATAGATAGATAGATAGATAGATAGATATGAATAGACTGAGATAGATAGATAGATAGATAGATAGATATGAATAGATTGAGATAGATAGATAGATAGATAGATAGATAGATAGATGTGAACAGACTCTAATACTTAGATAGATAGGAACAGACTCTAATAGTTAGATATATAATGTCTGCTTTCGACCTAGTCAGCCATTTTGTTTGCTCAGCACGCACATTCTCTTGTGATGATATTTTAAATAAACAATACTTTGCTTGAAACTTTTTAAAGTGACGAAAAGTTTTGCACTAAACAGCTGACACTATCTAAACAAGAATAGAAATAGCAAAAAAAGGAACTGGTCTACATCCCTGAATACAATCGAAGTATCAGGTTTTATATTAAATGGCCATCTCCTAGCTGGACGACTTAACAAAGTCTTGGGGTCAATCTCTTCTATTGAGCTAAGAAAGTCATAGATCTTGCATAAAAAGTATCTGTTTGATCCGCAGATGAGACTATAACTGTCGCTATAAATCCAGTCTACCTGAAAATTATTGCAAATAAGGAATAGCTCAACACCCTCCAGAAATCTTAAGCTGGATGCAGTTTAATATCATACTCACAGGATTCGTCATGATTGTCATTTCTTTGCCGAAGAAGACCGTCTCTTCACTTGGTAGCTTTTTTTTGTATTTTTCATTCAAAATTCTATTATTTCCATCATTTCTACACGAGTTAACGCTCTGCTATGGACCCATATGTGATTCTTAAGGCCAGCTTCACTTTTACAACCTCTCTTACACACGGAGCAACAATAAAGTTTGTCTGTGTTAACTATGTTTTAAACTTGCATGTCCCTGTCTACAGTGATGGCCAGCAACAAATTTACAAACCTTGTCACAAAACTCCCACAAGTAACCTGTAGGACTTTCTGATATGGTTGCAATCACAAGAGTTTGTCCCTGACCTCTCTGGTGTGATTTCACGTGACTGGCTAAACCAGCCACCGAAAAGTTGATTTTTCCACAAATACAGCAAGCGTATTGGTGCCTTAATAGCTCTGTGTCACATTCTATTTCTCTTTTCCTAATGGAGAGATTTTTGTTGTATGACTCAATTCTCTTCCGCTCAAAATTGTTGTAGAATTCACAAATCAATCATCTTCAACCAGATCTCTCTCCAGTAACAGTTTTCCAGTCTTCAGCATTAACACCAAGAGTTTTTAGGTTACATTTAACTACATTCTTGCAACGTTTTGCGGGGCTTATGAGCGAGTCGATTAGCTTGTACCAGATCACAAAAAAAAAAGTCTTTTGAGCAATCTGCCGTCCCCTATACGTGTCAGATGGCTTGTCCAGATAAATATATACATACATATTTGATGACTGCCACTCTATTTCGAGTAATGCCATCGCTTGAGTCATTCTCGAATATAGCCAGTGTAAAGAAGACATTTTTGTCCTGCTAGGATCTAGGGTTTTATACGGCAACGTTAGGTAATTCATGCAGCAGTTGTTACATTAATATTTTGTTGAATATTCAATGTGTAGCGTCCTGGATGTTTTTTTTTTATTGTTGCCCTACTTATACACGATGACATTCAATACTTGTTAGATCAAATTCTGCGCGAAATTAGCGTCAAGACCCTTACGAATATCTTGTTTTTCATGATCCACTTTGTTCAAAGTCTCTTGCCATTGTGGCGCTGTTCCCATCCAGTATGAACGACCTCGAGCAAGGTTTCTGACCTTCCTTCTTCAATATATTCTTGATGCAATCGTTATACTTTTAGGTTGACATACATATACACGACTAGAATGCAATTAATATCCATTCTTTTAGAATATATTCGAAAAGGATTTTGGCAATTTTAAATTGATCAGTTATAATAACAATTTCAATAAAATGTTATATATTTTATCAGGATCTGTCTATATTTTTGAGATGAGGTATTATGTACACTATTTACATTATTCGAACTATTGTCCTCATTCTTGTCGGTATATTTATTACAACGTTTCGGCCGTTGTACGCTCCGGCCTTCTTTAGGTGTTTGGTTCCACAGCTGCACGGGAGAGCGTACACAGTCTTTAGTCATGTTCTCCTCTATGACTAAAGACTGTGTGTACGCTATCCCGTGCAGCAGCGGAAAGGAATATAAAGGGGAGACAGGCCGCCTCTCAAGGTAAGGCTTCAAGAACACCAGAAAGCTGTAACACGAGGGGAAGTAGAAAAATCAGGCGTGGCTGACCACATATGGAGAGAAAAGGGAGATCACCGCCCTTTGTGGGATCAGGTTGAGATCATAGACAAAGAACACCATCGGAAAATTCATAAACTTAAAGAATCAGCACATATGCTAGGCCACAAAAATCTCATGAGCCGACCAAGCATAGAAATGAATACAATATGAGAACCAGTAATAAGGAGTGCCAGAGAAAATAACAACAAAAGTTGCAATATTAGCTCTGGTAAAAACATGCAATGATAACAGCAAAACTTGCAATATGAGTACTGGTAAAAAATGATGCTGAAGACATTAGGTTTATAATACCCAGAAATTCATACACAGATGTCCGCAAGGACAAATGGCACAGTGGATGAAGACGTTAGTTAGACCCAGTGACAGGACCCAAAGAGTGTGAGTTCGGTTAAGGCGGTAGAGAACTTGTAGAGGGGAATTAGCAGGAGATAACTGACATTTATTTGAACAGTCTACTCCAGTGAGCGAAATAAAAGCTTCAGTTCGACATACGAACCACCTGAAGAAGGCAATGAGGACAATAGTACGAATAATATAAATATTGTATCAGGAATATTTAATATTATTTAATTACGCATATAATCAAATAAAACAAATTTTGTTTGTTTCCTTTCAAACATGAAACCCATGAAAAGGAAGCGAACAATTGTGAGTAATTTGGAAAAACTTCATTTCGCTTTGATGTTGAATGCGTGTAAATGCAAAAAGGTTGAGTGTAATTATTTGGAGCCAGCATCTCTGAATCTACAAAGATTTGGGTCTTCATAAATGGTAATGCTAAAAATTCGCTTCTGTATAGAGATTCCATTGTGATTTATAAGGTTTCATTTTGGCGAGACAGAAAATCAAATGTTTACCGACTAGCGCTTCATGTATTACACATTTCCCGCCAATATGTTCCCATATATAAACGGTGTTTTCTCATTAAAGTTAAAAGGCGTGATCCGAAGGCTGGAAATTAAACCTAAACGGATATTTTGGTATAAATAATCTTCTTCTTCATCTTCGCTAGGCACATATGTGAAGTTTTGAAACCGAGAAAAAAGAGAAATTAAATCAGTTTATAGAAACCTTTTTTTTTTCATTAAGACTGTACGAATCGTAGAATTCATTAATGTAGGAAATTGCAGAAATACCATTCCGGAATTTTCATTGTCTCTCATAGAGCAAATACATCTTTCACGGTGCTCAAATATTTCAAAGTTATATATATATATATATATATATATATATATATATAGAGAGAGAGAGAGAAGAAAGAAAGAAAAAAACATAGAATATATATATATATAGAGAGAGAGATATATATATATATATATATATATATATATATAGAGAGAGAGAGAGAGATATATGTATAGAGAGAGAAAAAATAGAAAGAGTGAAAATAAAGATACAAGAAGAGAGCGTATATATATATATATATATATATATATATATATATATATATATATATATAACTATGAACCTAAAGAGCGAGGTAAACCTACCTAGGTTTCACCTACGCGGATCGTCGTTATGGTGTTTTTTTTTCTTTGCACTCTGAGCTTGGATTCTGGACGATTGTTTTCGCCTCAATCACATGTTCTTAGTTCTTTCGTTTTTATCCCTAATTTTTTCTTGGAAATTGGTTTGTTTATTTACAAATCAAAACTCCTAAGGTTTTTCCAGACGAATATAACTTTATATATATATATATATATATATATATATATATATATATATATATATATATATGGAAATATTCTCAGATTGAGTATATCTGTAGAAGAGACGAAATGATTAAAAAAACGACGACGAAAAACTATACTTAACCGACGCGTTTCGTCATCTGATGAACTTTTTACATTTGCCTTGATGAAGGCCGTCAGATGACGAAACGCGTCGCATATGTATAGGTTTTCCTTTTGTCTATATATATATATATATATATATATATATATATATATATATATATATATATCATTTCACACCAAACAAGGCACAACGACGCAAGCGGTTACTAAATATTAGAGAATATGAGAAATTTAAAACATAATATAGAATCAAGTAAAGAAGAATGTTGGATCGAATTATTCAGAAAACTAGGAGGGAAATCTACTATTTAACTGAGAGACTGAGCAAGGACAAAATTGAAAGTCTATAATATATATATATATATATATATATATATATATATATATATATAAACGCACGTCCACTTTAAATAAAGCAAATTTTAAACTATATGTAAAATATATGTGTATGTGCCCCCCACCCGACTCAAGGGAACAAACATTCAGTGTGCTCACTCTCTTCCTGATAGAAACTCACGCACGTGTTTTAACGTGCCACCTTGCCGATCAATATGCCATCCCTACACATCTCAATAAACATGGCAATAATATCTCCACCAACATAAGAGGGATACTTGTAAATAAGACTCGTATACAATATAATATTTATTATGAAAATAACTCCAAATATTAGAAGCTTTAACTATAAAATTATAAAAAAAAAATCATGTTCAACTCTGTAAGTGACGATATCTTTAACCGATAATGAATCTCGCTTATTAGTCACGCTCCTCCTTGGGTTACAATCACGCAAATATTTAGAACTATTTCAATATACGAAAGACGACAAGTTTTGAGTTTTGAAATAGACAATATGCAAACAATATGTATCCTTATCTGACCCCGATATACAATCCTATTTCCCGCCATTGTCATTCATTCTTCTCCTTACTACATTCCACATCTTTTCCCTTTCTGTTCCTCTTTTCCTTCTTCGTCTCTCTCGTCTTCTTCCTCTTCTCCTTCTTCCTCCTCTTTTCGCTTCCCCATTCTCCTTTCTATCTTCCACATCTTTTCCCCTTTCTTCCTCTTTTTTCCTTCTTCGTCTCTCGTCTTCTTCCTCTTCTCCTTCTTCCTCCTCTTTTCCCTTCCCCATTCTCCTTTCTATCTTCCACATCTTTTCCCTTTCTCTTCCTCTTTTCCTTCTTCGTCTCTCTCGTCTTCTTCCTCTTCTCCTTCTTCCTCCTCTTTTCGCTTCCCCATTCTCCTTTCTATCTTCCACATCTTTTCCCTTTCTCTTCCTCTTTTCCTTCTTCGTCTCTCTCGTCTTCTTCCTCTTCTCCTTCTTCCTCCTCTTTTCGCTTCCCCATTCTCCTTTCTATCTTCCACATCTTTCCCTTTCTCTTCCTCTTTTCCTTCTTCGTCTCTCTCGTCTTCTTCCTCTTCTCCTTCTTCCTCCTCTTTTCCTTCCCCCATTCTCCTTTCTATCTTCCACATCTTTTCCCTTTCTCTTCCTCTTTTCCTTCTTCGTCTCTCTCGTCTTCTTCCTCTTCTCCTTCTTCCTCCTCTTCTCCTTCTTCCTCCTCTTTTCGCTTCCCCATTCTCCTTTCTATCTTCCACATCTTTTCCCTTTCTCTTCCTCTTTTCTTTCTTCGTCTCTTTCGTCTTCTTTTTCCTTCCTTGCTTTCTCTTTTGAATTCTGTTTCATTTCAACCGCCATATTCAATATCTAGTAATAATACTCTGCGACAAACCAGTTCCATCATTTCTTCACACCAGCACAGAAAAGAAACGAGGACAACATTTACGTCATAATTTGAACGAAGGAAAAGAATCAACCCTTGTTATTTTCCCATCCTT